AACCTTAAGCCTTATTAACCTTTAACCTTATTAATTATAATTAATATTATTTTACAAATATAGTCGTGTTAATAATATTACTCTATACATAGAGGAATTTTCCCTCCAATATCGTCATATCTTTTGCAATGGAAACAAAACTTCAGTGCACACTGCTGAAGGCAAATATTGCTAATTATCACTTCAACCCAGCTGAGCACTTTGCTATTCACAAGACCTTCACCTAAAGATTTAAAATGGGCTTGAGGCACGGAGTTTTGACAGATTGTCCCAATAATTAATAATTTCTACAGTGTATCTGAAATATCGAAGTCAGTAAGATACACTATACTTCTACAATGTACCTGAAATTTTGTTTTATATATATATTTAAATATACTACATATTAAATATTTTCATAAACTATGTGCCAAAATTTAAAACTAAATTCATCACGGGCAATTTAGTTTCGACACATATTAGGAATTTCTACGAAATTACCGATAAAGAGTAAAAAAAGGCCCTACAATTTTTAATCTTTATAAGTTGATTGGTTCATTTTTGGGGGAGGGGGTCCAAACTGAGGCCAATATTCAAGATAATTTCAGATTGTTTCCTTTATCGTTTTTTATTAACAAAGTTTAAACTAACAGATCAGAATGAGCAGGTCTTCAAGTATATCCTAACCTTTATAAGGCTATTTGTCACACCTCCATTTAACTTCATAAACGTATTTATTAAAGACTTATCTGCGTTTTACAACCCTTCAGAACTAAATGATAAATGTTAATATCTATTTTTCTTGGTCTGTCCGTTATTCTCAATAATTGAGATCATTCATTTCAATCTGATAGCTGGTAATCTTTTCGAAGCTAGCATATAACCCATCTTAAGCTTTAGAATATCAAACAAAAAAACCATAAAATATATTTCGTCTTTTTTAAAAGTAACAGACTAATAAAGAATTTAGAGAGATTAGACAAGACTGCTGATGAACCATGAAGATTAAAGTCGTCGAGGGGTAAAATTTAACAATAATAAAGCTAATGTTTGAATTGGAAAAATTTAACAAAGGGAAAAGCATTATCACTTTTATTTTTCCATGTCTTACCTCGTTTAACGAGGATAAAAACAGAATAGGGAACATTTTCTCTTCCAAAATTTGACAAGGGGCAACTGAAGTCTGCCCTCTTTGAGCATACCGGTTATTTTAGCATAATTCTAACCGGTTGGCCACAGCTTTATACCTTGTGAACAAGATTACCTAACTGGACAATAAAACACTTGAATTTAAGAAGGCTAAATAGTTAACTATCGCAATATAACAGCAGAAAAAAGGAGAGAGAGAGAGAAAAAAAGAAACCATCTGACTCTCCCTTTCTAATAGAAGTTTTAATTTCCAAAACTCTTTTTCTTATAAATTTTTTTATTACTGAAACGTTCTCTCTTTCTCTCTAGTTCTCTGTAATAAAATTGTATCTCTGAAACGTACAGTATTTTGATGCTGAGCTTAGCTCTTTCACTAGATGCAGCTTAAAAAGCTTTTTTTTTTTTTTTTTTTTTTTCCCCTTTAGTATTAAATGTATGTCACTTCTGCTGCGAAGCGAAGCACAGGTGGATTTATTTTTATTAACTCAAATTTCTACACATATTTTTTTTCTTTGCAGCAAATGAATTTTTATACTATTTATACTATCTTTTGTCATTAGCTCAACGTAAAGGCTTCCGTGAATAAGAGGCGATTTCTCTTAAAATATCCTTCACGAAGGCATCCCTTCCCTTAGGTAGATAGTCCTAGAAGAATGTTTTTTTGTATTCAGATAACCTAACCTAACCAAGAAAAAGTTATATCTCGCCTTTTATCAGCAGACACAAGTGTAGAATTATTAAAGGGAACGTCTTATTTTTTTTTAAAAAAAAAGCTTTCGTTTATCCTAAAATATTATACATTCTGCCATTTACAAACTATCTCGAGTTTTCCATAAGATGACATTTATTGCACATTTCAATAAACCTGACGAAGAACATTGGCAATTTTGAATTTTGGTAAGATGAGAGGATAAGATCTATCACAATGACAACCTTATAAACTGTTTCGTTCAGCAGTTTTATTTTATTCCTTTAAAACGAGGTCTTAAAATATCGTTTTTAAAATTTGACCTCAAAATAACTTTTCGAAATAAACCCCCCTGTTACAGAAGACAAACGGAGTAACGTCTTGCGAGCCATGCTTCTAACATTGCAATCAATTGAAATGCCATTCATAACATTATCCAGGACCAGAATCGGCTCGATTGCGAGTTGCATGACTTCCCTGCCATCTAGCATGGTTTATTGCGTTATAAACGATTTTCCCGCGCAGATTTTGTCTCCCGGACGTTGCTATTTATCCCGATTCGATGGAAGGATTCCCCTCCTAGACACCCTCAAAGCGTTGGCTAGAGAAACGATGCCGACTGCTCCGTAACCAATCCCGCAGCGACTGTCTAGGGCGATCCGCAAAGAACAGCGCTCCGCGGAGCTCGCTTTGAACTTAACGCTCACAGGAGCTAACGGGATGTTTCCAATAATATCATTTAAATTTTTTTCGTTAAAATAAATAAAAAATTATATAGTGAACTGTCCCTCACTGACGAATGCTTTTAGCATTTTCGTTTTGGACAGTGATAGTTTCCCCTTTTTTGTAAATCATTACTTCGATCGGCAGGAAAATTACAATTTACTTACGCCGTATATTTACTTTCACAGGAGATCTGAGAGAGATTTTAGAGAATAGAGGGCGCACGCGCTGTGCTCTAGATTAAAAATGTTTATTCTTTGTGATTTCTAGATTCCGTTCCTTTTTATTTTTTTATTTTTTATGATAGCGTTTCTTTCTTGGAATTAATTTAAATTTCTTTGAAAAATGAAGAAATCAAAATTGGATTCTAGTCTCTTCTATGAGTTAAATGAAAAGAATTTTTGATTGCGCACATATATAACATTTTCAATTAATTTAAAATAAATTACGTAGCTAATAAACTTGTTTGAGGAATTTTGTTGCATTAATTTTTATAAGTAAAGAACAAATTATTTATTATTACTCAAGTACTCTTAAAGACATGGCAAAGTCCGACTACAATGTAGACGAGTTGTGATTTATCTCATATCTTTATATTTCACGGAAAAAGGGAAATTCAAAGTTTGTTGACAATTATTTATTCTTAAACAAGATTGCGGCTGATTTGCATATTTCAGTATCAAGAAAGGTTAAACATTTTATCCCTTACATTTTTCCTAAATAAATATGCATATAATTGCGGAAACAAATTTTGAAGCATATGTCTTCCAAGCAAAATTATACAAAACAAAAAGGATCACATAATTTTAGTTATGAAGTTCAAGTTCACAATATTCTTTAGAGTTATCTGAGAGACAATTATTTAAAAGTTTTCTTAAAGGAATGAAAGTTTACATTTTTACATTTTGCTTTTATAAAATTATTTAAGTAAATAGTATTTTACTACAGGTTCGATTTTCATCGAAATATACATTCCATGAGGTTTCTTCTATTTTAAACAGGAAAAGAGTAAAAACACAATGTCATTAATACACGCTTAGGAATATGTCATATTTTAAGTGTGAAACAGCGAAATATCATATAATTTAAATCTTTCTTAAACACATCATTAGCATAATATGTGAAAACAACTCTCATTAAATTGCCAAGTTAAACTTGCATCATTCACAAGCAATGACTCTTAAATTCTTCCAACGTGAAATCGAAGTCAGAGGCATGCAAAAACACTCCTGTCATAAATATACACCAAATTCAATATAATCACAAACTTGATTTAATTTGTTTACTCGTTTTTTAAGTTAAATGCTCACTTTCGATGCCATGATCACTAAAAATGTAAAAATGATAGTTTTCTAGACATCATTTTCGTAGTGTCTAAAGCACGGATGTATTTTTATGAAAGCTAGATGATACAGAATGGTTAAAAAAAATTTTAAACATATTATTACTTTAAAGCTAAATAATAGAAAGTGCCCTATTTTATTACCCTTGGTCATTTTTATTTTGAAGATAACATTAACTCCAATGCATATTTTTAGATACTCTTTTTGCGTATCATCCACCATCTTCTTGCATGTCAGGAATCATGAAATAAAATATTAGAAAAACTTAATGAGAAAAACAATTTTTTTTTTCTCTATTTGGGCAAACGGTAATAAGAAGGCTCAGCAAAGTGTCAAGACTGATTTAATAAAGATCCCTTATTGCTGCTTAATAGGCAATGCCTAATGTTTTGTTTCGTACTTAACAAATATGTAGAAGAGTATCCACTTAAAATTTAAGCTAATAGCTTTGAATGTAATTTGATTTGTTTACCTTCTTCTTTTCGAGTTCACGTTCATGCGCAATTCAAATACACTACCGGTAAGTTTTATTGTGTTTGTTTCGATTTATATTATAAGAGGGTTGTCCTTTATCATGCTTCATTTTTCAATAATCAGTGGAAAGGATAATAATTTTTGTCAAAGCAACTACCCCTACCCTAATTTCAGAAGTGAAGACTTTTAGTTCAATGCTTGCATATATTAGTGTACAACACATTTGGGGGAGGGGAGGAACAGGGTCCGAAATTTGCTGCTCTGAGTTCTACAGATAGAAACTGCATAAACATACACTGTTTCAATTTAATTCTTTAAAGAACTGTATACTTTGGGAGTGTTTTAATTTAAAAGTTATTAATAAGACTGGGTTTTTAGCTGGATAAATTTTAAAAAAATCATGACAAATAATACGGGATAGAGCGCATGAGTTAAATGGGGTAGAGCCGCACCTAATAAGGAAAAATACAAGCTACTGAAGGGGCACATCGATTGATTTTCAACACCTGAGTCTAACATAGAAACAATAACCCGGTTGCCTAGGTGACGCTCGGAGTTCATTTCTGTAGGTTAAGCAGACCTTCAGCAAATGGATCTGCAGTCCAAGACCTCGTAGAAAATAGTTAAAAAAGGGTGAAACTTACCAGAGGAAGGCCGATCAGAGTATCTGGTACAAAATATCCACGCAGGCCACATAAGGCCTGCGGGTCCCCCTGGGGTACCAGGCCCTCCAGGACCTCCTGGACCTCCCGGACGGTCGGCCGATCGTCCAGGAGCTGCATTTTCGTTCTGAGGTGTGCTGGAGTTCGTGGGCTCTTTGGAATGTCCTTTTTCCCTGTCGGTGGTGTCCCTCCTTCCAAAGTCCGGGGAGAGGATTTTTTCGATGGAAAATTTGAGTGAATGAGAAGGAGCCTCCGGGGCCATCGGTCGGCCCGTATGAGCCGGTGAGGACCGCTCCTGGGGTGATGAGGAGCGGCTTTGGACGGAACTCGGCCGCTCAAGGTCTAGCGCCATGGGCCTGTCGTCGCTCCACGCTCCGCCGGAACGACGACTCGCGATGTCCGCTGCCTGTTCCGTTACGCCGATTTGCTCCGATCCCCTGCAGCCTGCTGCATCTGAAGGAGGGAGGAGATGCTCCACCCTCCGGCCTCTGGCTTGGAAGACACTCCAAATACTCAGAAAACAGTCTGAACTCTCTCGCTCCGAAAACACACAAAACTGAAAGGGGTGCTCGAGTTTTTTGCAACTGCCCGCCTGCGACCGAGTTCGCGAGTTTTGTCGTCCCTTTTTTCGAACGACGCTCCGAGCCTCCGCTGTTTGGCAGCCTTTCCGCTTGGCGGCGCCAAAGCTCCGCCCTCTACCGTCTCCCCACGTGGCGGGGATCCAATCCAAAGACGCCTTAGAGGCGGAGCGAAAAAAGCTTTTATTAAAATGTCAGCGTGCGCCGATGGGTGGAGATTGAGAGAGCAGCGGCGATTTTGCGTCCAGGGATATTTCAATCGCTCGCCGCCTGATGAGATAATTCCGACAAAGAACACTCCGATTTTGATTTTTTTTTTATTATTTTCCATCGTTACTTCAGGGTGGCCGAAATTCCAAATTTCAAAAGAAGGGACCCTGCGTCCTTGGAATCTTCTAGTTTACCGAAACCCATTTCAAAGTCATTAGGGTCCCTTCCTCAGGATAACAGCTCTTGGGAAGTTTATTGTCGGGACGCAGAAAAACTCTGGAATGCGAAATCAGTTTCTTGGAAGCAAACAAGCATATCTCTCTTCACGCAGACAAAATCTTGCAAGCAACGAAACTAGATGTGTCGCTCAGCAGCGTAGTATTTATATATGATGATATTATTATTATTTTAGTCTGACAGATTTTTTTAATAAACTTGGATAAAGGAAAAAAGAATATTAATAACTCACTATATTTACATTAAGCGCATGCTTATTGTTTTCCCAGTTTTATTCGGTTTGTTTATAAAAGTTGTTACTTTGCCTTTCAAACACTTAAATTTGGTACCTAGCAAAACGCATAAATATAGCATATTAGAACGTTCAGTTAAAAAAAATAAACTATTCTAAGACCTTGTAAATTTTATTTAAACTTTCTCAGAAGGCATATTTTTAAATAAATAAATATAAATCAAAAAGCAAAAAAATCGGAACACAAAAGAATAAAATTCCGTATTAAAAATTCTTGAAGGTCCAACCTAATTTCTCCGGGTTACATTATGAACTGGCAGAACCCACAAATTAAAAAATAAAAATACAAATTGGAATCAAATAAAGTTCACTCCAAAGAGATCAATAATGTAATAATATTTTATAAATCATATAAAATACAGAAAATTTGTACATAAGAAAACCAAAAATAATAAAAGCTTTAACCTCCTTTGTTTAACTCCTCGCTTCAAAATAAATAAATAAATAAATAAAAAATAAAAATAAAAAACAGAACAGGAAAAGTGATTTGATGCCTTAAACCAAATTGATTAATACTAATTAATTGTTCCTCTAAAATCCTTTGAGACTCCAAACCATTTTTTTATTAATGCAACTTTCATACAAAACAAAATTTATTTTTAAAGTCTAAAAAATTTAGGTCTTTTCCCTACACGTTTTCACACTCATACAGTAAAAACATTTGCATACAAATGCAAAAAAATTAAAAAAATCAGAAGAAGCCTAAACAGGCTAAAAACTAGCTAAATTTAAGGCAAAATTAAAAATAAATTCTATTTCCATAATAAAAGGATCAATTTAATTTCAAATTAAAAAAATTGTTTAGGCAAAGTATTTATATCTTAATACTAGGACTGACTCATTTATGTAAAGAAAAGCAACAACTTTTTTGTGAATTAAAAATTTTTTTCTTAAAAGAAAATTAAAAATTGTAAATTCTGCAGTGAACCTAGTAAAAAAGGGGGGAAATTATTTATATATGCAGAAAATTTAAGATTTTTAAGCCCACCAGTTTAGCTCTTCATGCACCAAAGCGAAAATGAATTCGTGATTGAAAAATATTGAATAGCACAGTTTTAATAATTGAATTTTCAGCACCTTCAACACTTCGTATTCACGGCTAAATGTTTGAACTTTATACTTCCTTCTTTAATTAGATTCACTTTTTAAAAGAATTCTTGAAATAGTTATCAAGATATAAATGATGTAAACGAACTTGAAAACTTTCGAATGGTCACTCATTTGGTATTCCTATTATTTGAGAACAAGATTATCGAAAGAACAAACGGAATATTTAATGTTATTATAATCTTTAAACACGTGTTGTAGTTACATTTAATTACTATTAACATAATTGTTAATTATTATAAAGTAATAACTTTTAAAATTATTATTAACAAAAATTAAAACTATAATAAATAATTCTAAGTGATTTTCACGTCTCATTAAATGAGACGGATAGTATTTTTCAGCATAATCTTTGCACTTTCCCCCTTTAATTTATGAAATATTTTTACAAATATTATCTAACATTACAAATTTCGCAAATACCGGAATGGAAAATATTCGTCTATACAACTTATGATGTTATTTAATATGATCAATTACTTTTACTGTTTTTGATTTATTTGAAAATATTGCAAAGTTCAAAATTAATTATCAGTGAAACTTTCGAAACCGTGATTTTAATAGCACAGTTTTAAATAACAATTCATGTTTATATCGTTTTCCTGATCTATTCCATTTTAGACTGCATAAAAGGATTGTATTGATGCTCTAAATCATTGGTTCTCAACGGAGGGGGGGCATTGGAAGGATGCTGAGGGGCTATGAGCTTGTTTTGGAAGACAGGGGGGCGGCGACTATGTTCTGGACTGTAGGGGGAGATGAACATATTTTGTCATTCGAACTTAATTTAAAAACTCCGCCAAAAATTTATTAAATCGATTATCCGATTTACACCATTTGTACCACAAATAAAATGAACTTATGCGACGGCTTCCCTCATTCACTTCTAAGAATGGAGAGACGAATCCGCAAAAAATTCATCCTGACAAACAAAATAAAGATTTGTCGTTTTTCCCGAACATCAGAGCCAAGTTTTTGAAAGCTCCCGTCTGTCTCAGGGTTACTAGCAACCTCATAAAAAAATGCGACAGTGGCTTGATAGCCTTTTATATTATATAAAAATTAATTGTTAATTAAGGGAAAGCTCATATTATAGGCGAAGAGTTGATACAAAAAAGAAAAGTCGACTCCAAATCGTGGAAAAAAGAGGACTTGCGCCTTCATCTCTCTAAACATATTGAGCCGAACGTTAGGAAACTGGTTCTGAACCATTAAGCAGACATCCTACTGATCATACTTGATTGTTTCATTGATATTACTAATTATTTAATTAAGAATAAACAATTTTTAAACATAAAATATCGCTTAAGCAATTTTTTTCTGGCATTAGTCATTTCAGTTTTAACAAAAGAATGTTAACGATAGTTTTGGCTCGAGTTAAATAAAAAAAAATTGGAGTGTAAGTCGAGTGAAAAAAATTACTTAGACTTTTTGCCTTTTATAATTCAGGAATCCCCCTTTCCCATGCCTAAATTACAGGATTTTCACAAAGGAGGGCGTTGAAAAGTTTTTCGCTACTTGAGGGGGGAGGGTAGCTTCGAAAAGGTTGAGAATCACTGCTCTAAATGCTATTTCACACTGATTCTCAAATCACCATTTTTACCTGTCTTGTTTCTTTTGATGAAAAATATACATGATATCAGAGCTACATTTTTCATTTATAAATTATACTTAAGTGGGACATTAGGTATGAAAAAATTTCCTTAAAATGATAAAATGTGGAAAAGTAAAGGGAGTAGCTGCTCGGGATTCGTTCACTGTACCTTCTTTGAATATCTGCTCAGTTTTAGCCGCAAACCCGAAGATAAAAGACATATCAGTGAGCTCCGCTTTCGTTGTAAAGAAGCATAGCATTGGAAATCCGCACGGGGAATGACAACTGACGCCTGCAGAACGCTTTTACCTAGCACTCAACAGCGTTCTATGCCATCTCAACTCGCCATTTCCGCGCATACATTCTATTAAAAAATATACTTGTTTCAGACCCCTCTGTCAGTCTTTACCTTTTTACCAGCTATTTTTGAATCACCCTGTATAAGTGAAATGTAATTTTAAGAAAGAAAATTAATTTTCAAAGCTCGGGTTTTACTACTTTTGATGATTATACGATTATATGATTTTTTTCTTATATAAAATAAATTTATAAAATATTTTACCAATGTTTGCGAAACCTTCTCTATTTAATAAATTAAATGAAAATAAGTTCTTTCTATCTTCAAAGATTCCTACTGTATTTTTATTTCTTTAAACTTAAAAATTTCTTATAAAAATTATTTTCTACTCCTTAAAATTTCAGGTACATATCTACTCAGCAACAGCTCAAGAGAAATTCTCATATTCGAAAGTCGTGTATTTCTTAACTAGAAAATATTTTAAAAGTATTGTCTCTATAATTTACGGAGTACAATCTTAGCAACTAGTTAATATTGTGTTTAATCTATTTGCCTTGTAGTTAATATTGTGTTTAATCTATTTGCCTTTAATCTATTTGCCTAGAGTCGTTTTCAAATTAAAACTAACATTCAGATAAAAACAAAGCTAATGCTGCTTAGCTGCGCTTATTAAATGATTCCATCACAGATTTGAAAATAGAAATATTTATTATTTTAATCGTAATTTTTATATTGCAACTGTAAGCCATTTATTATTAAAAAAACCTGTATATATGAATGTACTATTTTACTTTATGGAAATATGAATGCACTGTTTCAATTTATTTTTTGCTTTTAAATACCATTAAATATTACATACTTTCTTAAATAAAAAAAAATTCTTAATGCCTTTTATAAACGAGGTGTTTTTATGATTTTTTATTTCAGCCTGTGTAGATATCAGTAATAAACCAAGTAATCTTGTTTAGGGCGCATAAGTTTACTAAAGAGCAATTACTCACATCTGAATTTGGAAAATTTAGCTCTTTCGCAACTAACTACCAGTAATGGTAACTTTTAAAATACCCGCAGTACCGCAGAAATATTTCACGTAAAAAATCTTTTACTGAAAGTTCAAAAATGTTTACTGACAAAATTTAAATTTTATAAAATGAAAGCTAAAAGTCATAAATATCTGCCTTATGAATGAAAATAATAATAATAAAAAATAAATAAGCAAACCAAAAATAAAAAGATTGCAATCTGAATATTTTAAATTACATTGAAGCTTCGTTACTTTAA